GTTTTGTGGAGATTCAGTATAGAGTTTAGTGGAGATTCAGTGCAAAGTTTAGTGGAGATTCAGTACAATGTTTAGTGGAGATTCAGTACAATGTTAAGTGGAGATTTAGTGCAATGTTTAGTGGAGATTCAGTACAATGTTTTGTGGAGATTCAGTGCAAAGTTTAGTGGAGACTCAGTACAAAGTTTAGTGAAGATTTAGTGCCATGTTTAGTGGAGATACAGTACAATGTTTAGAGGAGATTCAGTACAATGTTAAGTTGAGATTCAGTACAGAGTTTGTTGGAGATTCAGTGCAAAATTTAGTGGAGTTTTAGTACAAAGTTTAGTGGAGATTCAGTACAGAATTTGGTGGAGATACAGTACAATGTTTAGTGGAGATTCAGTACAATGTTTAGTGGAGATTCAGTACAGAGTTTAGTAGAGATTCAGTAGTAAAATAAATTTGTATTAAAAAAAGATACATTAGTGTCTTGGAGGGGAAGGTTGACCTCTGTTGATATTGTTGTGAGGGATAGTATTGAGAGAGAGAGTGGGTAGTGGGGTGGCCGTTTCTGTCAATCATGATATTGCATGTATAAACTATTTTAAGCTTATGCATGAAGAGCTGGTACTTTTATGCAGTTTGTTTGAGAAGTGTGGTCTGAAAGTAATGAAGAATACAAGACATTTTAACAAACAATTGTATCCATTTGTAATGAGGTATTTGCAGAATCTATTCGGAGTTAAGACCCCGATGGTGTGTTCATAATACAGCATTATCAAATAAACAGGGAAGCATGTAATGTAAACTATGTTTATAACGAACTGACGGATATAAGGAAATGTGTTTTGATCCCGTCCTTTTGCTGTATATATGCTTATAACGAACTACGGTTATAATGAACTAAAATTAGAGGTCCCTTTGAGTTCATTATCACCGTAGTTTACTGTGTTTGGCTAGCAGGTTTACTGACTGACTGACTTTTGACTTGAGAGATTAAGGTCAAGTTTGTTTGATGCAAAAGAAATATTTGGGGAGACTTTGTATTATGAAATCTTTTGATTGAGCAAATGAAAAAAATAATTACTAATGAAAACTTGTGTGATGTTAGGATTTACCTGTAGCTGATTTTAACGACAGTGTGAGACTGACATTGTTAAAAGAGAGACCACACAAGAAATTTAACATTTTGTCGAAGAGATAAGGGCTTTAAAGGTGATAATTCTTGTTTGGCTAAAGGTTTGAGCAGGACGGTAGCACTGTTAAATTTACATGGCTTAGGTGTGTTTGAACATAGAGAAAATATGTATAGTATTTGATAATAACTGGAGTTAGTTATTCCAGATTATCACCAGTAGGCTGATAGTGTTCAACAACAGTCATCGCCTGATGACTTATTCTAAGGGAAGTAACTGCTGTAAGGATATAATACTTGGTAATGTGGTCAGAAAGTTTAACAGGACTTTCCTTGAACCAGTTTTTGAAGTTTATTGCAATGTTTAACATTCAGGAAGTGTTTTGATGGCCACATGGTAAGCTCAGTGTTGATACATGATAGAATCTCTCCTGACGCTATGTTGACAATATGGAGTGCTTGGAAACTTGTATTGAAGTGAAATGTTATTTGACTTTTGTCACTAGTTTCAAGTTCATTGACATGTATTTTAGCAGGTAAATATGATCCATGTTTATTTTAATTTGAAGACATTTTGCTTGTATTTGCGCTCATCTCCTGTAGTATCACTGAGGAAAGGTAATAGTCCTGGGACATTTTGTGGTTAAAAGTTTGGACAATATAGATATTTCTAATTTAATTGCTTTCTGTAGTGTCATAGCCTGTATGACATGGCTGGAATATGGCTGACTACAGCATAACACAACGTTTATTCACTCACTAGTGAGTGAGTGAGTATGGTTTTACACCGCTTCTAGCAATATTCCAGCAATATGGCGGGGGACACCCGAAATGGGCTTCACACATTGTAACCATGTCGGGAATCGAACCCGGGTCTTCGGTATGACGAGCGAGGTTTTAACCACTAGGCTACCCGACCGTCCCTATTCACTCACTATCTTTGATTGTGATGTTTGCTATTATTTTCAGTTATATTCCCTTTTATTATCACAAAAAAACACCCAGTTAGGTAACTTATAGCTTGGAGAACACAAAGTCTGTTGGGATTCACTGTATACATCATGTATTTGGCAGCAGAAGGTACAAAAGAATTCTTTTTCAACGTGCCTGCAAACACAGTTTATTCTTTCGGCCCCTGTGGGTATTCTGGAGCAGAACTACATAAAGGCTGAATCTGTAAGGAATTTTAGGTAAGAATATGGGTCACCAGCAACCTATGCTTGTTGTATGTGGCAGCTATATACATCGGTAGTCAGGGTCAGTAACTTGGTTGTTGTCATTGTATCCCAATTGTGTGGATTGTCTGTTCCAGACTCGATTATTTACAGACCACCGTCATATAGCTAGAATATTGCTGAGTGTGGCGTTTAACAACAAACAAACAAAATCATAAGTTCTGAATAACAAGGACTGGATGGCTACAGTGTTGTCATCTCACCACCAAAACATGTATCATTGCCCATTCTGTTGTCCACCTTTTTTCCTGGACTAGTCTTTTTACAGGCCATCACAATATGGCCGGAAGATTCCTCACTGTCGTTAAACAAGAGTGTTCATACAGGCTTGAAAAAGCCTTGAATTTTAAGTTCCCTCTTGAAAAGCCTTCAGTTTAAGTGTCAATCTTTAAAAGCGTAGAAAATGTCCCATATTTTAATAGTCTTGAACTGTTACCAAAAAATAATAATATCTTGTTGGAAAATCTGTGATGTTCATATTACTTTTTAGGTCTAACTTATATTGATAGACTAGGGCTAATAACCCAACTAAAATAGGGGTGTCACTTAGTCTGTGAAAATATATAATTTTAATGAAAACAAGGAACTAAATTTATACTGGAAAGAAGCCACAGAGACAAGGTTGATTGAAAATCTAGACTTGCTTCATTTTGGGATAGAGTATTACAGTAAGGGCTGGGGAGAAGAGAAAGTACCATATTCGACGTAATAAGTGCCCATGGCAATATTTGGTAATATATTAGCAAGTGAATAATCCCAATTGGCACGCCTTCCGATTGATCAATGTACACAAGACTTATTTATTCGTGTATAATATGCTCTCTTGTGTTATATGCACCCTTAATTATGGGCAATTAAATTCTGGAAAAATATATCTGTCGTATATAAACAATTCAGGCTGTGAGCATAAACCACGAAATTTACGATCTTTTAATAATATTCTAATAAGAGCCCCCTATTCCTAATTTTGTGAGCGCCTTATGTCGAATACGGTAATATGGTTCAGGGACTGGGACACCTGTGGAAATTCTAGACTTGCTTTATTTAAGGCTATAGGATTACAGTAAGGGCTGGGTGGAAGGGCAAATAATATGGTTCAGGGACTGTGAGACAGACTTATCGGGATACTGGAGTTAGGATGTATGTATCACAATACTTTCTTTGCTACACATTTCCATTACATATCTCCATGTATCCTTCAGATACTAATTTGTTATTAAGGCATCGATGAATCACTGGGTATCCAATTCAGACTCTATTACTTAAATGCCACTGTCATATACCATATTTTCCCTATTTAATGCTGGGCCTAGAGTAATCGCCGGGCCTGGATTAGGTTTTATGTGTGGAATTCTTCCTGTGATTATCTTTACGATTTAACACAGGGGTAAAAAGTGTCTGAAAGAAATGTACATGTCATGAAGGAATTATGGTAGATGGAACATTGCTGAGTGCAGCACGGCATTGGAGAACAAAAAGCATACAATAAAACATTATGAAACATTTCACATGTTGTATTGTGCTGCATTTTGTATACTGATTAGCCTTCACCAACACTCACAATATAAACAACAATTGTACACCATGTTCGATTTGGTGTATATGTTTACGTGGTTCCAAGGTTTAGCAAACATCCTGGCCCACTGAGCAAATACCAGTGATCTTATCTCCTTCCACTGGATAATATACTAAATAATCCTAAATGAATTGAAGTGCCTTGTTTTCAATTTTCTCAGAACATGAATACATTGACACCTATCATTGTTGTCACCTCGCCACCCATACAGGATGGTAGGTTCCAATAAGGTCATGTGAGATACAGAGCCTGCAGCTCATTTGTCGCAGGTTGCTAATGTCATTTAGCAACATTTAGCTAAATGGTGTTTTTGGCCTGCCTAATAAACCTACTTTGAATTACTATCCTAATTTCACTTCCTCATACCAAAGTAGCCAACACATTGAATATTACTTTGACACATTCATACACACACTCATATTTACCTTACATAGTCATACAACCCGTGCAGATCCAGGGTAGAATAGGTCTTCAGCAACCCATGCTTGCCGTAAAAGTTGACTTGATTATTTACAGACCGCCATCATATAGCTGGAATATTGCTGAGTGCGGTGTAAAAAAACAAACCAACCAACCAATTTTGTGGATCGATGCTCGTGATGTAAATCCCTGGACTGTCTGGTCCAGACTCGATTGTTTACAGACCTCCGTCATATGGCTGAAATATTGCTGAGTGCGGCGTTAAACAACAAACAAAAATCATACATACGATATCATTATGATGTGATTTCACACGTTTACTCCTCCATGTTACAACTTCATATATGCTTCATTTCATAACTGGTTGACTGATAATCAGATCATGTGAGATACAGATCTTCATAGCTCATTTGTTATGGGATATGACTTGCCTTTGCATGTGTTTGTGATAGGTGCCACTGGCAGGGCAGAAAATGCTCACCTGTTTGTGAACACCAGGTATCATCACTATTTGGTAGAGTCATTAACACATGCTCATGATATAGTCTGAATTGTACAATTGTACTTGTGACAGATTTTTTTATGAATGTGGAAAGGTTTTGGTGCTTTTATCAATTTCCAAACAAAGAATGATGAATCTGTCCTTTTTCAGCCTCCGAAGGTGCGGAAGAGTTATGGGTCTGAGGAGGAAGTGGTGGAGTCGGTCAACGCCTCCCCGCCAGTGCTGGAGAACCGATGTGACTTCTGTCAGCTGACTGCCGCCTCCAACCGGAGGGGCCGATCAGAGAAACTACTCATATGCAAGGACTGCATTGCAAAAGGTGAGGTGGTGTTTGGGTAGTTTTCTAGGATAATGGCTAAAAGATTAAATACACCGACTGTACTCGATCCTGCAATAAAGTACGCTTATTGAGTTACATCATAATGGGCCGACAAGATGACACTATTCAAATTACCTCCCTTTTGTTCTAACATATCCTTGGTAACATCGTTCTGTCAAACATGATGGTGCATCCATATCAATTGTCTATCAATGAAAGAGTTTATTTAATGTGGTGGTCTAGGAACCCATTCTTATATCTGAGACAATAAGGTCGAGTCTAGGTTTCCCATTACAATATCTGAGACAATGAGGTCATGTGTACTAACTCAATTACGATATCTTAGACAATGAGGTCGTGTAGGAACCCAATTATGATACCTGAGACAATGAGGTCATGTGTAGGATTCAGGAACCCCATTCTGATACCCGAGACAATGGGGTCACGTGTATGAACCCCATTCTGATACCTGAGACAATGAGGTAAGATCTAGGAACCCCATTCTGGTACCTGAGACAATGAGGTCATGTGTATGAATCCCATTCTGATACCTGAGACAATGAGGTCATGTGTAGGAATCCCATTCTGATACCCGAGACAATGAGGTCATGTGTATGAACCCCATTCTGATACCTGAGACAATGAGGTCATGTGTAGGAATCCCATTCTGATACCTGAGACAATGAGGTCATGTGTAGGAATCCCATTCTGATACCTAAGACAATGAGGTCATGTGTATGAATCCCATTCTGATACCCGAGACAATGAGGTCATGTGTATGAATCCCATTCTGATACCTGAGACAATGAGGTCATGTGTAGGAATCCCATTCTGATACCTGAGACAATGAGGTCATGTGTAGGAACCCCATTCTGATACCCGAGACAATGAGGTCATGTGTAGGAATCCCATTCTGATACCTGAGACAATGAGGTCATGTGTAGGAATCCCATTCTGATACCTGAGACAATGAGGTCATGTGTAGGAATCCCATTCTGATACCTGAGACAATGAGGTCATGTGTAGGAACCCCATTCTGATCCCCGAGACAATGAGGTCATGTGTAGGAACCCCATTCTGGTACCTAAGACAATGAGGTCATGTGTATGAATCCCATTCTGGTACCCGAGACAATGAGGTCATGTGTAGGAATCCCATTCTGATACCTGAGACAATGAGGTCATGTGTATGAACCCCATTCTGATACCCAAGACACTTCTACTGCAGTTTGAAGATAAATTAGCAATGTTCCAGATATTTGAAGAGCAAAAGTCAGATTCCTAGTGTTTCATTATGAGAATTGGTTGGCCATTATAGCTGTGAGTTGTGCAAATGAATGTGTGACCAGATCGATGTGAATGTATGTAAATCTTGTCCAAAGATTTGACAGTCACTATGTAACGTAGCTGTGATCCACATTGTGAGAGGTGTAAGGCTGTTGGTGACTGTTCAAATGAAACCGTTCTCTGAGGCCCCGTAGTGAATCTCTTGTTTGTCTACAAAAGGCTCAAGTTTGATTCCCTCCACCAGCATAGTTGATGAAGCAGCCTTCGAAATTCACGCTAGTCTACTTGGCCACTAGTCCACGAACCTTAGACTATTAGATTGTGCTGAGAATTAGTGAAAGTGAAAGTGAAAGGTCACTTTTATGGTAGTCCTTATTGACCAGTAGCATTTGAGGGTTCTGAACCAGTTCTCAATGCTTCCTAGTTTGAACTGAATAAAACTGACAGAAAATGATAACATTATGGACATTTTTGTCTTGTTCAAGCAGGACTATATAGCCAGCTATTAACGCTGAGGACCAGGGAAATAAGGTTTCCACTAGTCCTAAGGACAGGTCTTAAGAAGTGAATTTCATTCTGAAATCCTGTGTTTCCAGCTCACCCATCATGCATGGACTACTCGGTGGCGCTGGCTCGGCGGGCACGCAAGATCCCCTGGCAGTGCATTGACTGTAAGACCTGCTACATCTGTGATGACGCAGGGGATCCGGTAAGTCTGTGTGTCTGTCTGTCTGTCCTTCAACCTGTCTGTTGTCTTGATGTGTCTGTCGGTGGGGATTTGGTAAGTCTGTCTGTCTGTCTGTCTGTCTGTCTGTCTGTCTGTCCTTCAACCTGTCTGTTGTCTTGATGTGTCTGTCGGTGGGGATTTGGTAAGTCTGTCTGGCTGGCTGTCTGTCCTTCAACCTGTCTGTTGTCTTGATGTGTCTGTCTGTGGGGATTTGGTAAGTCTGTCTGTCTGTCTGTCCTTCAACCAGTCTGTTGTCTTGATGTGTCTGTCTGTGGGGATTTGGTAAGTCTGTCTGTCTGTCTGTCCTTCAACCAGTCTGTTGTCTTGATGTGTCTGTCTGTGGGGATTTGGTAAGTCTGTCAGTCCTTCAACCTGTCTGTTGTCTTGATGTGTCTGTGGGGATTTGGTAAGTCTGTTTGTCTGTCTGTTGGTGTGGCTGTGGCTGATCGGGTGGCTGATTGTGTGTCTATTTGTCTGTGTGTCTTTGTGTCTGAAAATATGTGTCTGTTTGGGTGTTGCTTATTGTGTCTGTGTTGCTGATTGTCTGTTTAGCTGTGTGTCTGTATGTCTGATTGTGCATGTGGCTGATTGTGTGTCTGTTTGTCTGTCTGATGGTGTACTTGTTGTGAGTGTGTATCTGTGTGTATGGTTGTTATACTTGGAATATTTCCTCGTTCAAAACTAAAAGTGCAACTTTTATGAAGATAAAATTAATCTTGATGAGAACATTATTTTCCCACTTATACCATATAATTTGTTATTGAATGTAACTTTTATAAAAGCAAGTTCATATATGGACAAGTTTAGCCTTAAGGCCTGTGTTGCACATGGAATGACTTGGACGGTGATGTTGCAGGATTTGATGTTGTTCTGTGATGGGTGTGACAAGGGCTATCACACCAACTGCCATGAACCGCAGGTCAAAGAAAAACCCTCAGGTACTGATACAAACAAGTTCTAATTTTTCAGTCATATATTTTTTAACATGGACGATTTTCAAAAAAAATAATGTTTCCTCATGAGTTGAAATAAAAGAAAAGCTGATATGTTTGTTCACGAAATACACTTCATGTTTGTAGGCAAGTGGGTGTGCACGGAGTGTGAGACAGACGGAGTGTCGGCGGAGGCTCTCGACTCACAGGAGGCAGCTAAGGCAGCCAGCAAGGAGCTGTCCATTAAAACAGGTGAGTTACTCCCCCAGCAGTAGCACTTTACTGGCAGCTTCGATTGTGTACTCCCCAGGGAGTTGATAATTCATTCCCAAGCAGTACATGGGTACCCGATAGGAAGTGATATGGTTTTTAGTGACCAAGCATTTATCTGGCAGCTTTGATTGTATACTCCTCAGGGAGATGACATTCATTCCTCAGCAGTAGATGGGTACCCGGTAGGAAGTGATATTGTTTTTCATGACCTACCATTTATCTGGCAGCTTTGATTGTATACTCCTCAGGGAGATGACATTCATTCCCCAGCATTAGATGGGTACCCGGTAGGATCAGAGATAGGGTAATTGCTGACCATGCTGTTTACAGAAGCGTAACCGAGTACCTGGAGTCCCTGTCCTAAACACGACTCTTTCCACATTACTACAGGCTTGAGAAAGTAGGCTCTGCATGTTGAACTGTTTTTGGATCTGGATTGCAGATGTCTTTATTATAGAACGATATCTCATGTAGCCTCATTATAGGGAGTGTGTCATCTGTTGCAGACACTGAAACAGACAAGTTGTGTACCTCAGAGCCTGGTCCGTCCTTCCTCCATACGCCCTGCGATTCCCCTGTGGAAAACATGGAGGTTGACAACCATAGGTACGTCAGTGCAGTTCTGGGATGGTATTTGTCTTTAATTCTTGGCTATCATATCCATTTTCACACAAGTCCTGCAAGCAGAAGTGTATTTTTCCTTAGAGACAAAGAAGAGAATTTAGATACTTTATTCTTGCACTATTTCACTTCAAGATGTCTGTTTTTCACTGGGATTTCTCTGGACCTGCCAGAGGCTGATAATTGGCCCCAAGTCAGCAGCTATGTCAATACAAATTCCCAAATTAGAATGAAATATTTCCCAGTTCATGTTGTGGTGGTTATGATTTTGTAGATCCGGCTTGTAGTTCACTGGCAACAGGCCCAATACAGAGGGAGAGGCTTAATCGCATTGAATATTTTGTTAAAATTTAAAGTTTCCATACTTCTGAATTAAGGAGAGTGAGAACACTTTTCCCCAATTTGTCTGCCAAGGTCATATAGTCAGATTCTTTGATAAGTCCCTGAGCTTTTCTTGACTACTTAGATGCGCGATACCTTTCTTCCAAGTATGATCCCCGGCCGCGTCATACCAGGGGCTAAAGAAGGACTGGTCGGTTCAGAGTCAGTATACTGTGTCTGAGTAGGGTATTCATGTTAAACTGCAGCATGGGATCTCAGTGAGCTAGCACTATAAATCGGCATCAGTCCGGACTAGTACAAGCAGCCACACACACACACACACGTGCATGCACGTCGGTATATAAGTGCAATAATCTTGGACGCGACGTTAAACCCAATTTCACTTCTACTCACCACCAAGTATGGCTTCATGTAGCCATGGCGTCGTCATGCATCTGTGGAGGTCTCATAGTTTTTTCTTTATTCTGTGGAGCAATTGTAGCATGAACACGTTACTCTGGGTCTCATGACGGAAATATTCTTGTTTCAAATTTAAGAATATACCGGTGTTAATGTCCCTGTACTGTACTGAAACTGATATATAAGGAAACCTACATATGCTGGTCTAAGGGAGATAACTGCTAATTATATAAAGTAGGTCAGTCTTGTTCAGATAGACTAGTCCTTCCTCCTCCCACACACCCACAGCTGGCTGTATAGCAGAAGTAGCTTCTTGTCTCCATTATGCTTCATGTTGTTTAAAAATGTTCTAACATGTGACTGAAATTACAATGTAACAGGGGTGGTGGGGTAGCCTAGTGGTTAAAGTGTTCGCTCGTCACGGCAAAACCCAGGTTCGATTCCCCACGTGTACAATGTGTGAAGCCCATTTCTGGTGTTCCCTGCCACGATATTTCTGGAATATTGCTAAAAGCGGCGTAAACCATACTAACTACAATGTAACAATTACTTTGGCTCCCAATATGTGGAAATAATTTTCGCGATATATTGCAATACAATTTTTTTTTACATTACGCAGCTCTGGTTTTAATGAAACTTTTACAAGTGAAGTGTTTGTTTCTTCTCAGCTATTTTAAGGAGGAGGTGAAACCGGTGAAGAAATCCACAGAGCCCCTCCCGAAGGAGCCCTGTTTAGTGGACAGCGTGTACCCAGACGCCTCGGACTGGACAATAGACGAAGTGGTCCTCTTCTTCATGTCCGTGGGCTTCGAGGCGCAGGCGGAGGCGTTTCGAGAACAGGTAGGGGCAAAGTTACTCCCCTCGGCCCAGGTCCACAAAGCAAGCACAGCGCTATGACTAGTGTTGTAAGCATGTGAGTCTGTGTGAAATTACGGAAGAGTTAAGATTGTGAGACAGATCCTATGATTTACTCTTATAATGCTGGGGAATGAGAGGAAATTGCAGTCCCCAGAACTACTTGTGTTTAAGGTTATATATGCCTTCAATAAACATTGATAGATTGTAGGTATTTTTGTTGTTGTTTTTTCTAAAGTTTTATTTAATTTTTTTATGACTGGTTCACTGTTGACAGTAATTCCCTTTCCTATGACAGTAGCCGATGGTTTTGATCGTCACTTGTTCTTTGGGTTTTCAAAAAAGTGGTAATAAGAACGCGTTCTGCCCTTCCCTTTCTTCTGTACTTGTGCTGACATGCCATGTTATAACTTAAATACTGTTCACAGCTGCTACGATGTGGAATAAAGTATTCAGGGTTATTGATCATAGAAGTTGGTGCAAGCCCCTCTTTCCTAATTCTCTACCCATAGGGATTCCAGTGTAGAAGGTACAACAATATGAAATAGAGGCCCGGTTAGGACTCCAGTCCAGCCGGGTAGCCAAATAGTTTAGGAAATCGCTCTTCACGCCGAAGACACCTGTTTGATTCCCCACAATGGGTGAAGCCAATTTCTGGTGTCCCCCACTGTGATATTACTGGAATATTACGAAAAGTGATGAAAAACAATACTCATTCACTCACTTGTTGTAAGAGTTGACTGAAATGAGGATGAGGTTTTTCACAATGGTCGACTTGACTGACTGTGTGAATTTTGTAACTGGCATGGATTCTTGCTTATGTTATCAACAACTGATGGCCTGACATATTTTCAGTTATTTATGGGTCGTCATACAGTAGGTATGTTGCTGTTTGTGATGGTGTAAAACAACATTCACTCACTCACACTAATAACACTCCCTTGTTTTTCAGGAGATTGATGGCAAGTCTTTGCTCTTGATGAAGAGGAGCGATGTGTTAACAGGTCTGTCAATCAAGCTAGGACCCGCCCTCAAGATCTACCGACATGTTGAGTGTCTTCAGACTGCAGGACAAGATCAGACCATGCACTGAGCAGGTGCTTGTCCTGTGTATAGACAGTGGGAGATCAGACTGTACTGAACAGGTGCTGTACAGACAATGGGAAACGATAAGACCATCCACTTAACTGGTGCTTGGGCTGTGTATAGTGTCTACAGACCTTGGGTGAATATTCAAGCCATGTACTGAACAGGTGCTTGTACAGACCGTGGGAGATCTGACCATGTACTGAACAGGTGCTGTACAGTGTACAGACCATGGGAGATCAGACTGTACTGAACAGGTGCTTGTACAGACCGTAGGAGATCTGACCATGTACTGAACAGGTGCTGTACAGTGTACAGACCATGGGAGATCAGACTGTACTGAACAGGTGCTTGTACAGACCGTGGGAGATCTAACCATGTACTGAACAGGTGCTGTACAGTGTACAGACCATGGGAGATCAGACTGTACTGAACAGGTGCTTGTACAGATCGTGGCAGATCTGACCATGTACTGAACAGGTGCTGTACAGTGTACAGACAATGGGAGATCAGACTGTACTGAACAGGTGCTTGTACGGTGTGGAGAGACCATGGGAAAAGTCAGATCATGCACTGAATGTTTGTGCTGTGTAGAGACCATTGGACAGTGGGGCCATGCACTGAACAGGTGCTTGTGCCGTGTATAGTGAAGATAGTGATATGACCAGACTGTATGTTGAACAACTGTTAGTGCTATGGTATTAGGAGGATTAAAGGGAGCAGTGCTCAGGTTTTACTGAGTGATGGTCACCGATGGAGATTATTTGCATAATCTTGCTTCATTCATCTGCATTCCACTTATAATAGATGCTTCTTGGTATTTGATCTTGTTTTGAATACCCATTACGAATACACAGAAAATGTCAGGAATGGTGTTGAATACATATTGAAAGATAATGGAAACGCTTACACTTTGGTCACTCTGATGCAAGACCAAGTGGAGGTAAGCAGAAGACGTAGGGAAGGCTTGGGAGGAGTACTTACTTCATTCACCGGAATCAAGTCATGCTCGGGACGGTGAACCTGTGAAGCATGTCGGGGATGTGGTAACCAATTATAGTTGGTGTGTGATTGCCTTTTGACTTCTCAGCAGCTATCTTGGGTCGGAGAAGTCAAAATGTTTTTATTTCAGGGAATTTGTATGTTTTCTGGGAAATGATTCGAAAGGTTTCTTTTGTCCAAATAAGATAAAAATATAATAGGTCGAAGAATGAGTGGAGTAGTCACCTGTTATTATGCAAGCTAGTTAAATGTATTAAGTATCAATGAAACATGTTTTTGAAAATGAAGAAATTGCACTGGATGACCGCCATTGTTGTTGGAGTGGCTCCAAGCTCCTCACAGTGATAGCCCGTTTGCGGAGCTCTCTATACTATCACTGCCACCAGTGAAAGCTCCCCACTGTGATAGGTGGCTGCAACCATGCTTGGAGTTGAACTCACACCCAACTGTTTTATATACAAACAAGTTACGACTGCCGTAATGCCGAATACACTTACCCCTGCTAAATTGTTTTCTTTGTTTGGCAATTTGATTACTGTGATTGCAACTCTCATGTAATTGATATAATAAGAATGTGAGGGGAAAGTTGGTTGATTTTCCGTTCGTCTGCAATCTCGAATCAATTTGAGCAAACAAACAAAAAGTTAACTTCATCTGGGAAATATGGTCAGTGGTAAACATTTTCAAACTTCACTGTGATGGCATTCCCATAGACAAACAAAAGTATAAACATTACTACATTTGGGGTTAGAGGGCAAATTTCAAGATTCTTGTAACAGCTGTGCCCATACTGGTGGCAGCATTACCGAGAGTGTAACGAAGGTGTCACGCGCTGGGATGGAGCTTGGAGTGGTTCTTGTGACTATTTGCGACAGTTGATCAATGAAAGGAGTTTCAGAAAGTGTGAGGATTGGTATAGAGACTGTTACTAGCCAGTCTAGGGGTGGATTCTGAGGATCTGCAGTTCACCATATTTCCATAATAGTTGAAAAATGTAGGTAAGGCCACTGTAAATTATTTGTTAGATTTTCATAAAAAAAGTGGACAGGGGGCTCTATATTTTGTATGATTTTGTATGAGATGAGATTACTTCATGATCCATAGTAGCACAGTAGACATACATTCTGCAAGATCAAACATGCATTTTACTACTGATTGATGCTTATATGGGACCGACCAATTGGTATGGGAAGGGGGAGCTGTCTTTGTATGGAGACTAGATAGATATTCAGCTATAGCTGAAAACTGAAAACCCAGATATGTTTGTTTTTAACACTATGAGCTTAAATATTTATTTTTTATATAAAAACTCCTTCTTGCAACAATGTTTTTTTTGTGGTTGACAATTTCATTCTTTTTTCAACACTTTAAAAATGCCAATGAAACCATTAAATCTGAAGCATAGTTATTTATTATTATTTTTGTTCCAGTATTTTCTGGGACAGTATATTTTTTCCGATCAAGTCCAGCCCCTCTCAGAAAATCAAATGGTCGGTTCCATAGCAACTTTTAGTCTAACAATCGGGTTTTCACAAAGTTTGGATTTGTAGAATTCTGGGTAAGCTCATCAGTCTCTCAAGACAAAAACTGGTCTGGCATTCCTAAGATTGTTCAGTTGACAATGAATTTATTTTTGTATGTTTAAATTTACATTGGTTGCAGTCAACAATGGCATGCGTATTTGATTATCCGTAAATAAATAACTGATTTCGCTGTTATTATTTAGGGGCAGCATTGAGTTGTGCTATCTATTTAGATGAATTATGTATACAGTTGAACCCTGTTAATCCAAACGGTAGCGTTTTCGCTGAAATACGGTGTAAGGATCCATACAGAAATGGTTATCTCTGTAATGGTTAAAACTACTCAAAAGAAGTTAAGGACCATCCAATTCTTTTATATTACCATGGTTAATCTGTCATGTCAGTCCTTAACTTCTTTTAAATAGTATATTAAAGAAATTGTTATCCATAAGTTGTGTCTACTTTGAAATGCTCCGGATAAACATATTTTCCGATTATGGAATAATTTCATTTTGTATGCATATAAGCATTTCCGGAGTACTCATCAGAAATTTGAGTTTTCAGGATTACCTGAAATGAGGTTTCACTATGTATATATAGGGATGGTGATTGTATGACATGGTGATTGTCATTGATTGGTTGCAGATCAATTAAATCAGAGAATGAAATTTAGTGTGTGAACATAACCTTGTGATATTTGACATATGCAGTTCAGATTTATATAAAATCATTCCTGGTGTCTCTAGTAGTCTAGTGAGTTAAAAACTATATTTGTCATGTGTTGATATAAGTTATTAATGGCCCAAAATATGGGTGGTAAAAAAAAAACCCAAAATCCAAATTAAGGACTTTTTGAGAATTTTATTTTTCCGGGGGGGGTGGGGGCAACAGTTTGAGCTGAAGTTTCTGCATATTCTGTCATCGTTGAAAACATCAACAAATATTTGCTGGGAAACTGGAGGAGATCCTTTCTATTGCCACTTCAGAAGTACCTTTAGTTTATGCCCCAAATAGCAATAAGTATTGTGGCATAGACAGTCCTTGTAGGACACCTCATTGTGAAATCATCCTCTCAAGTATATTTGTCAAAAGTCATTCTATTTCCTTTCTAATTTAAATGGTTTTTATTTTGGTTGGTTTTGTAAGCCATCTATTAATATACAAAAGGCCTAAGGGGTGTTAAGTATTTTAGACTGAGAGAAAACATGGTTGATATGGCGTATGACTTGCAGCAGAATGGTGTAGTATTGATTATATTAGCCTAACACATGTACATTGTTAGTGAATGGATTTGTTCATCAAGATATGGGTTATGCAACAACATAATATTCCTCTGATCTTGGTATTATTTGTCCAAAATATGGATTATCCGCGAATTTAAGTGGTGGCTCTGTGGCCGAATGATTATTAGATTGAATTTGAAATAATTCTTGTAATAATAGATGCCATAATATTAAATTGTGTCAATCCAGGAAGATTCTGTATATATGAACCGACACAAATAAAAGGGTGGTCTTTTTAAGTACACACTCTACCTTATATCACAAACTGGCTTAAATTTAGTTTAAGCTGGTGTTAATATATTGTCCAATACTAATCCAATATTTCATTTTGTTTTGTTTTAAAAGTTTTGGACTTAAGTTATCCAGAGACTGTTGTGTCTGTGTTTTCATACCATTTGTTTTGACAGACGTTTTTTGTATTTATGCACATAGGCTGTACAAAGTGTATGGCGGTCCGTGGCTATGTGAATTGCTTGACTAATTACATGCTCCAATATCCAGTGTGTTCTGTCTCCATTCTATAAACTTACTGTAACATTTCCTGGACCTACTTGCCACCATGCCTTCTTGTTTGAATCTGGGTACAATGTGTGAAGCCCATTTCTGGTGTGTCCCGCAGTGATATTGCTGGAATATTGCTAAAAGTGGTGTAAAACCATACTCACTCACTCACTCACTCACTTCATACTTACTCACTCACTCACTCACTCACTCACTTACTTACTTCATACTTACTCACTCACTTCATACTTACTCACTCACTCACTCACTCACTCACTCACTCACTCACTCACTCACTCACTCACTCACTCACTCACTTACTTACTTACTTACTTACTTACTTACTTACTTACTCACTCACTCACTCTTGTTGGAATCTGGTTTGAATGAAACAAGACTAAAACTAGACATCCAATGAAATTTCACAGATTGTTCATGATTGAAAACTGGGGCAACATTAACAGTAGTAGATTTGACCTGACTGCACTATCTTATAGAAATAGGACTTCCTTCTCATCTTTGAATACTCAAAATATCTTTTGTAGCTAATGGTTAATTTATAACAGTCGTCTGAGTCCATTATATAAGGAGAGGTCTCAGTCAGGAGATGCTTCAGTTTTGAGATGAAATGGGGTTAAGGTCGCTTTGACAATAATTGCACTTGTATAGCTGTGTAGGGGTGTGTGGGCAAGTGCTATGTACTGGTCCTGGCTCATGCTAGGTTTGTAGGTCTAGCTCACTGAGATACCATGCGGCAGTTTAACATGGATACCCCACTCCGACACAGTAAACAGACTTGGAGCCCACCAGTGCTTGTTTGATTCCCTTAATGTGGAACCCCAGCCAGGGTAACAACAAGTACCATCTTTTAACATTGTTTAGTATGACGAGGGGTCCATGCACTTACCTTCCCGTCTTTGTGCAGACGCTCCATCTGTACTATCCACTAGACCAGGGAGGAGGTCCTTCAGTTTTGAATGTAGTTCCATGACCACATCAGAATTTCATTTCGATTGGTTGTTGGTTGCTGAAAATCAAATAGTCGGTTCCATAGCATTCTTTTAGTGAACAATTGACCACATCAGAATTTCATTTTGATTGGTTGTTGGTTGTTGAAAATCAAATGGTCGGTTCCATAGCATACTTTTAGTCGAACAATTGACCACATCAGAATTTCATTTTGATTGGTTGTTGATAGTGAGCTCATGAACAAGCCGAATTCGGTGTGAAGTTTGTGGTAAGAGAATAATACGGTGATGTCACTTCAGACACGAAGCTATGGAGGTAATTGGGTCCTAAGTACATCCGTATATAGAATCGAGATATACACTGGACCCGGATGGAGTAGTTATTGAAGTGTAGTATTATGTAGCATATAACTGGCTTGACTAGCTACTGTGTTAATTATAGAGGTGAAGTCTAACACACGATCACTCTATAACAAAGGGCACTTTTTATTGGCATGTGAATAGATTTTATTTTTATAAAGAAAAGGAACTACGATTGTTGCATGATTATAACAGAGAAAGGCTTATGAAGTCGTATTTCACTTGTTTTATTTATTTCAATGCTTAAAGCTTGTAAATAAATGTTAGAATTGTCACATACAGCTCGTCTGTCTTATTTTTCACACTCCCGTGAAGATGCGGGTTAGAATTGGTCTCAGGCCCGGACTTGCCTGATACATCTTCTCTTAGTTGTGTAGATGGATGCTCATGATGTCACTCATTGGTTGTCTGGTCCAGACTCGATAAATACAGGTTGCGGTCATATAGCTGGAATATTGCCCAGTCCCACGTTAAACAACAACCATATTTCACAGAGGGAAGTACGGTGGAATAGATGCCTGTCTTCCCACGTTTGGTCCTGAGCATTTTTTGTTTGTTTTGTTTTGTTGTTTTGTTAAAAATGTTGTAGTGGGGCGGTTGGGTAGTCTAGTGGTTGAAGCGTTCGCTCGTCTCGCCGAATAGCCGGGTTCGATTCCCGACATGGGTACAATGTGTGAAACCTATTTCTGGTGTCCCCCGCCGTGATACTGGTGGAATATTGCTAAAGGCTGCGTAAAACTATTCACTCACTTTTTTAGTAGTACAGAAGACCTGAATATGTGGCGCATTGTCATAGATGGTTGGTCATTTTGCGTTATCCGCTTGGTACGCTGCAGACAGTTTGTGAAGTAATGAGGAAAGGTTTAAATTGCGGCAACCTTCTATTTGCTCAACACAGTTATGACGGTGGTCAGTCTGGTGAACAGACTAATTATTCTTAGATTTCTAGCTCCGAATAATGTCAGGTCTTGGTGAACTCAGCTCTGAGGGATGGCGGAAAACAATATGATCCAGGACACGTATTCATCAACATACAATGATGTATGAATGGCGATGACCTTTATATGACACCACTCCGTCAGACTGATGTTCTGTATTGTTAACAGATTTTGTATGGAATTATTTCAATATCAACATTTTGGCGTTGAATTTTGTCAAAAGGAAGATAATGCTATCGTGAAACACACGTTTAGATATTTTTGCTCAAGTCACCATTTATTTATAGAAGTTAGAAGAATGTACAGTAGACCAAGGTTGAAACGATTCTGTCTATTTTGTATCATATCATGCATAGATGGTGATTATCACCCGTGTTTGGAATGACATCTCTTATATCTGGATTAAGGAGTGCTAGTCTAATTTCCTAGCCAAGCAAATCCCAGAATTCTATTTGGTAAAAAATGCGATATACATGTACCGGGACTGCAGGCTTTAAGCCCTGGGCTTAATGACGGATTTTGTGTATTTTAACATTTTATCCAAATTTAAGCCCAGTGCTTAAAAACGAAAAAGGACAAAAACATGATAGGAAGAATGAATATCCCAAGTTTGATGAAACAATACTCACAAATGGAATGAGAGAGCAACACTTTAACATGAGACACGATTTTCGTTTTTAACTTGAAAATTATGTCAAGAACACATTCAAAATTGAAATGACAGAGAAGTCATGTCAAAGAAGTAACAACAAACCCATATCGCAGTTATGCATGTCGGTAATATGCCTTTAGTTGTCACACTGAGTATCCAGAATATCGCCACGTTATGGATCCAGTGTGTCTTGTAAATGGGGAAACCTCTAACAGAACCTCTAACAGCACTTGAGGTGCAATGTTGGCGCAAATTGGCCATACAGAAGCGCGCGGCAAAACCTGCTGAAGAACAACCGGTATGGCATCTACCGGAGGCAAGAGCGTCCACTAGCCTTTTTATTAAAGTCTTGTTTCCACCCTTGACAAATCAGAGAACGTTTCACAAAATCAATATCCACGACTGGTATACCTTCGTATGAAAGTGATTTAATGCTGGAATATGTATTTTTCAACTTGCAGTCCCGGTCTGTTTTTGTCAATATCAGTAGTCAGTATTCGAAAATTTTAGTCGTACACTTCGCGCTCTGTCCTGGTAACATCGACCCGTGAAGATTCCGGGGTAGAATAGGTCTTCAGCAACCCATGCTTGCCGTAAAAGGTGGCTATGCTTGTCGTAAAAGGCGACTAACGGGATCGCGTGGTCAGGCTCGCTGACTTGGTTGATGCATGTCATCGATCCCAATTGCGTGGAACGATGCTCATGATGTCAATCACTGGATTTTCTTGTCCAGACTCGATTATTTACAGACCGCCGTCATATAGCTGTAATATTGCTGAGTGCGGCGTTATACAACAAACCAACCAACCAACCAACCAGGTAACATCGTATTTAAAACCAACCGGCTTGCTGCAGGTTATTAAGACAAAGCCCGGGCACTGTTTCGAAACAGAGCTTCATGAAATTAGCAATGGAGTTGAGTTTCTTTTACGAATTTGAATTAAAAGAGAACCAGCGGCATAGCACATTGTTAGGATGAAGTTACTGTCATGAAATGCACGTGCATCACGCAACCCCTTCAATCAGAGAATCTGCGCAAGTGTTATATAGATTCGGTGTTCAAATCTGGTGTAGAATTAAAATGAGATATAAATGTGGTCCACGTGATTAAATGACGATCTCTCATTGTTCAAGAGTCCCCTTCTGTTATTATCGAAGTCATAATAACAGAGATGTTTCTACGTTAACATGTCCATTACTAGAACATATTATTTCAATTGATTTAGAAAGCGGCATCAAGCCGGCTCAATAACTTTCTTTTTCTAGGGGGACATCACATCCCCGTTCTTTCATTATAAAACACCCTGTACCCATTCGCCACCGGACCCGTGAAGATCTGGGGTAGAATAGTTCTTCAGCAACCCATGCTTGCCGTAAGAGGCGACGAACGGGATCGGGTGGTCAGGCTCGCCGACTTGGTTGATGCATGTCATCGTATCCCAATTGCGTAGATCGATGCTCATAATGTCAATCACTGGATCTTCTGGTCCAGACTCGATTATTTACAGACTGCCGAGCTATAGCTGGAATATTGCTGAGTGCGGCGTTAAACAACATACATATAAACAAACAACCCTTCGCCACCGTAGCGTCTCCATCTCCTACTCAATCCCTATCTCTCCTCGCACAGAAGTCGTGCAATTTGAATGGCCGGCTATTGTTAGAGTCGCCTTCTGGAGTCGAACTCCAAACGAAGCATGGTAGAGCGTCCGCCCGGAGAGCGGAAGGTCCGGGGCTCGATCCCCGGCCGCGTCATACCAAAAGACGTTAAAAGATGGTACTTGTTGTTACCCTGTCTGGCGCTCGGCAATAAGGGGCTAAAACAAGGACTGGTCGGCTCGGAGTCAGTATACTGTGTCTGAGTGGGGTATTCATGTTAAACCGCGGCATGGTATCTCAGTGAGCTAGCACTATAAATCGGCATCAGTCTGGACTAGTACAAGCAGCCACACAAACACACACACGTACATGCACGTCGCTATATAAGTGCAATGATCTTGAACGCGACGTTAAACCCCATTTCACCTCACCTCACCAAACGAAGCAATGGTGGCGAATGTGTCCTGTTATTTATATTAACAACAGAATGAACATATACCCTGTATTATCGAGGATATTAGCGGAAGAACAACGCTGACTTAATGTCCTCGTAGTGCGGGAGGAAATCCTCAGCAAATAACACAGAAAACATTTATCATTATTTTATTCTCTTAATGTCGTGATCAAACGGGCTTGTCCGATTTCTTTAACCAATAAATCTGCAAAATAAAAAAAATTCTGGCAGAAAATAGTGTTATGATTTGAATGTACATACAGATATGCTATCCTGAGTAAATAAATAAACAGTGCTTTACTAACATATCCAGAAATTAATCAGTAATTTACGCCATGCGTTGTTTTCATGGCTTGAGTGCATGTTGTTTTGCGCCACGTTCAGAAGTGTTTCAGACTTATTAAAGACGTTCATGATCCAGCCGGGGTCAACAGATCAAGAATGCAAACAAAAAGCAGACATGTCAACTTCCCTTGATGTGTTATTTCTTCATAATCCTACCCACCCACTGACGGGCCAAAAACACAATACACCATAAGCGAAACATGGAAAATATGCGATTGGTGAAACACGAAATATACAGAATAAATGAAAACATCGTTGTGTCATTGATGAACATGATATATGTGATGATGGCGTGGCTGAAATGACATGGCTGCTTCAGGAATAAAATTGAAACTTTGTATTAGTTGTCTGAAAACAAACGAACCAGCCATGAATCATTATAAAAAGCTTTCGTCAACTCTCTTCTACAATATGAGGGAAGTAAGCAATATGACGAATATATACAATATAAGTCATCAGGCAATCTGCATAGTAAAATGGTTGATAATTAATATTTACACATACACATACAGGTGAAAACCGTTTAAATCTAGGTGTTAATCTATTCAATATGTAAAAGGGGGCATTTCCTGAGACTAAAGGTACATAATGTCTTTAAGTGGCATTTAGAAGATGGTGTGATGAACAAGGGAGATAATTCTATGGATATACAACTTCTTTATTGCAATAAATGCGACGTTTCGGTGTAGATACTAACACCGTTATCAAGCACGTGACACTAAGTGTATATCCATAGAATTATATCCCTTGTTTAAAACTGCAAAGCCACCACAAAATATGTGATGTTTCATAATCCCTTGCGTTATTTTGAATCTTACAATTCACGTTGCAACAGTGAGAGGCAATACCTGCGAGTGTGATCAACGACGACACTTCTGATGTCGCTGGAACTTTAGCCGACGTAGTAGTAGCAGTCGTAGAAGGATGAAGAGTAGAAAATTGTGTCGAGGAGTTGTTAGATGTCGATGTGGGTCCTGCTGTAGTAGCAGTAGTGGAGGGAGATGATGTTGGTAACGACGTTTTTGCTGTGGTGACGGTCGAGTTTGTGGTTTGTGATGTCATCTCTGAGCTTGGTGTTTGTGTAGTCACTGTCGTTGTCGTTGATGCATTACAGCTGGCAGCCGTTGTTCCTATGAGCAGAGAATGTACATTGTGGTTTTAAAATATATAGTACAGTTTCCACCTTTGCCGAACTAGGCTCGAATTTCCAGGCTCGTAGCGCTACAAGCGGCTGTAACGAGTTATGTCCCTTCTATGTCCCTCCTATTGATCAATCAGATTCCACCTCTCATATCACTTGCAGCTGCTTCAAACGAAATGGCGGCGCCCAGTCAAGACATCTCATCGATAATCAAGATCTATATTGTAACATAACACGCCTTACCCCGCGAAGTGCATCAGATCACTTAATCACCTTGATTAAACACATGAAAAGATTTGCACAATATCTGTCGACGCCCAGTTGGCGGTACACATGCTTTGCAAATCCTTCAGTCGACCGAAATCTGCACGTTGAAATCCATGTTGTTTACCGATGTCTAGCTAGTTACGCGATTTTGATTGGACTATACATAGATTTGTTAGTCCAGCCAAAATGCAACTCCGGAATTCCAGCCTAGTTCGGCACGGGTTGGAACTGGACCTTTATAGTCATTTTACGCCCATGCCTGGGCAAGATGCGGGGCAAACCGCTATTTGCGTTGTAAAACAGTTCAAGCAAAGGTACAGTCCTGGACCATGCCACTCCAAGTCAACAATGACACCTGAAAGCACCCGTGAAGATCCGGGTTAGAATTGGTCTTCAGCAATCCATGCTTATTGTAAGAGGCGACCAACAGAAACGGGTGACTTAGTTCATGCATATCATTAGATCCCAATTGCGTAGATCGATTTTTGTGATGTCAATCACTGGATTGTCTGGTCCAGATCCGATTATTGACAGGCGACCATCATATAGCTGGAATATTGCTGAGAGCGGCGTTAAACAACAAACAAAACAAAGCACCCCTGAAAATGTTCGATGCTCACATAGTCGACCACAAATAGATTGTCTGATCTATTTCAGATGATATTTTACAGGCTGTCGTGATATAACTATAGGCCACAACTATGACTTCGCCATTTCAAGGATATTGCCCCGTCGGAATAAAATGTGAAGAATTTACACGCACAAACTGTACAATAGACACCATTCTCGAGTGACTCACCGTCATCACAGCAGCAGTAGAAGTCGTCCGTCTTCCGTCCGTACCGTATGCACCTCCCCTGTCCGCACGCATCGAACACGCCTAGGGGGGAAGACATATTTAGATTGGTCAACATGGGTTATTTAATAACACAATGATTCAAATAGACAACGTATATTACACCAAACATTAGTGCATACTAATTACACATATGCCCCAGTGAACGATAAATTTGCATTTTCAAAATGGCGGCCGTGGCGGCCATGTTAAAAATCTTTATCGAAATAATGCTGTGTGACTTTTTGAAGACATTGTTCCATGATAGTTCTATACATAAAGAAACAACACATTTGTGTTGGGCGCGCTGTTGTCTATATTCTAAACCCAAATAATCTTCAAAATTATTGTTGTGTTTCACTTTTGTGTCATGTTCACTTTGTACTTCATTTGGTAACAATAATGCATACTCGCCTATGATCAGCAGTTTAATGATCCTTAATGTATTTACCAGAGGATTGAAGCAGTTCCAGTTTGCATGATTCATTCACTCCGTACACATTCCCAAATAATTTGGTGTCGTTTTCCCTCGTTGCTAAAACCTGTTGGATATCAACTTTACTCGTATTGTCCTTGTTGACAGACAGAGTGAGTTTCTTTGTAGTGGTGTTGAAACTCCCTCCAATCGGAATTGTCTCCCCTTGGGTTTTCATTGACCCTGACACTCCACCATCTTTGTTCTGACTTGCAATGTTTAAGGCGATGGCTTGTGTGGAGTTGCACAAGACATTCCCTGCCCAGGACGTTTTTGCTAAACCTGTACATGAAAGAGAAACTTCATAGTGAGTGAGTATGGTTTTACGCCGCTTTAAGCAATATTCCAGCAATATCACGGCGGGGGTCACCAGAAATGGGCTTCACACATTGTACCCATGTCGGGAATCGAACCCGGGTCTTCGGCGTGACGAGCGAACGCTTTAACCACTAGGCTACCCGACCGCCCTCATAGTGAGTGAGAGAGTTGTGTTTAACGCCGCCTTTAACAGTATTCCAGTTATATCACGGCGTGTCAGCTTAATGTGGGAGGAAAACCCGAAGTGTTGCAGGTCTCAGACGCTTACCACTTCGGTGAAACCCACGAGCACAGGTATGGTGCTGACAAACCTAGAAACATAATCGGGGCAAAATGGCATTCGAACCCACAATCATAGGTTTCTGGCGTGCCCAAGGGACGCAACTCTGCACAGCGAATTGCGGCGCCTTAGACGACTGGGCCACCGTGCCCCCTGAGAAACATCATAACGTTTTATATTTATGTATTGGTGTAAAGGTTAATGCATCAACCTGTCAGTGGTGTTCAAATTTCAGGATGAGTACACCATTAAACACATTTGTCCCCCGTCGCTAAACACTATGTTATTGCCCAAACCGACGTTAAACTACTCGCTGAGCGCGCAGTAGAGCACATCGGCCTTCACATCTTTTAAACCCAATGCTTATATCCATCTGATAACTCAATTGTCACCTTACTCCATTTATCTTCCCGAGGCAAGAGTCTCGACTAGCCTTGTTATCAAAGTTTCTAGACTTGATACAGGCTACTGGATGCGTTTATCTCGTGACGATGTTCTCCATTGTACACCATAATGTCTATGCTATGTAGGGTATATTTGAGTCCTGTGGCGGTTTTCTTTGGCAGAGGAAGAAATTAAGGCGGTAGAAAAAGTCGAATTGTTTCGAAAGCTGACATCTGATTCAAGAATTCAATCATCCTTCCTTTTGATTCGGCGGTCAAAGTTCGGACATTGTTCACCTGACGCGGCCTTCTACTGGTCGAGATGTCATAGATCTTGACGCAGATATACAGGTACCGTATCGGAGCAAAAGATCTGATTTTCATGAGTTTAAAGTATTTTTTATCCACATGTTAACTGAACAGGAAAATTATGTTAGCTGCCTTATAATGTGTTGAAGTTAATATCATACTACTGTATGTCTCCATACCGTCATACAAGTCACAGTCTGTGACTGACCCAGCTACAGGCTGACGACACCGAGGTCCCGTCCAACCATGGCTACAGACGATGTCGCCGCTGCTGTCACACCCGTAGTGGCCGTCACAGTTGTCCTGCTGAACACAGCGTTTGGAGCAATCTTCCCTGTAGTAGTATCTGTCACAATACGCCGTGATTGACACTCTCAAGCTGAAACATACGTAGCATATACAAATCCCGTTTCTCCGAGTTGGTAAGGGTTTCCGTCACATTTACCATTTCAGCATTATGACGACAGGGGAGATCAAGAATGTGATTCGACAATCTATGTTCATCTTCCCGACAAGGGCGTTGACTGACGATAAAAGTCAGTGGAAACTGGACTTTTATGGTCAATTAACTTCCTTGCCCTGGGAGATGGGGAGATCAAGAATGGGAGTCGACAATTTATGTTGGGAATCGAACTCGGGTCATAGGCGTGATGAACGGCCTCTTTATTCTTTGACTGCCAACCTGTTACATCGGATCCATCCTCGATTATCCAGGCTAATGTATTCAGCATAATAGAATGGATATTTAATACCCTGGGTAATCGAGGCTACATCAAACCAAGATTAATCGAATGAAAATGAATGAAATGGATGAATGACTGTTTGACAATCTTGATGGAGTCTCTTCTATGAGTCTCCGTCAATGCAGAACAGTTCTAGAGATATGAAAGCGTGTATCTTGATTACTGGTTAACAGAAATGTGTGTCTGTAGGTCGACTTCACATGTCAGGGTACAATAGTACATTGCAGTTGGTTATTTCTGAGCTTTACATATCGAGGACATCTGAAGTATCTGTCAATGCCCTTCAGTCTGTAGAATGGAGACTCCAGCTACCTGGTTGGGTTAATCGTCCTTTCTCCCGTTAGGTCCAGGTTTTTGTAGGAAGCAGTGTTGTCGGAAGGGAACACTGCGGATGTAAAGTTGACGGAGAAGCTGTCGATGATCATCTCGCCATCGGTGTCGAGGTCGGTGACGTTGACACCGAGGGTCACACTGCCCTGAAAAAAATCAACAGCCATTTCACAATAGCCGGGACTGACTGCTGTGCATTATCGATCTGTACTGAGAACAATCCGTTCCATAGAACAGTTGCCCATTTCTTTTCATTGATCTGCGAAAGTCTGTACACATATTATGTAATGCTGATTCCGATAGGTTTTATCCTCATCACGACCAGCACACAGACTGTCCCTACTTTACAGCAAGGTATGGCGGTGATGTGTTCCGAGCTAGAAAATATAATATTGCGGCACTGATGGTTAATAATGATTGTCCGTGAGGGTTTGTGTGGTGACCGATTAATGAGCGAGCGAGCGAGTATGGTTTTTCGCTGCTTTTAGCAATATTTCAGCAATGTTGGGGACATACGAAATGGGCTTCACTCATTGTCCCCATAGGGGGAATCGAACCCGGGCCTTTGGCTTGACAGGCGGGCGGTTGAACCACTCGGCTACCCCATCGCTAAGGATATCTTACAAATATCAAGTAATCAGCTTGTAGTTAAGATGAACTTCCACTTAACACTGTAACAGACCTGCATCCGTGATGTAATGGACGGAGCTTCTTCCCAGAGTGGGGAAGGTCGGTGGTACCAAAAGGATTTAAAAGGTGGTACTTGTTGGTACCCTGCCTGCCGCTCGGCATAAAGGGGATAAAACAAGACCTGATCCGCTCGGAGTCATTATACTGTGTCTGAATGGGTGACCATTTAAACTGCCGCCTGGTATGACACCACCTGACCACCGGGTCCATAAGGTGGCCTCTTACGTCATCGGATAGATTCAAACCCGGAATTGCCACGGGGGTTTGTCCTAATTGAGTATTATATCGTGTCTACCTGAAACTCTTCACCTACCTTCCACGTATCGAAAGAGAACAATGAGACGTCATCGGAGAGATTCAAACCCGGAATTGCCACGGGGGTTTGTCTTAATTGATCGTGTCTACCTGAAACTCTTCACCTACCTTCCACGTATCGAAAGAGAACAATGAGACGTCATCGGAGAGATTCAAACCCGGAATTGCCACGGGGGTTTGTCTTAATTGATCGTGTCTACCTGAAACTCTTCACCTACCTTCCACGTATCGAAAGAGAACAATGAGACGTCATCGGAGAGATTCAAACCCGGAATTGCCACGGGGGTTTGTCTTAATTGATCGTGTCTACCTGAAACTCTTCACCTACCTTCCACGTATCGAAAGAGAACAATGAGACGTCATCGGAGAGATTCAAACCCGGAATTGCCACGGGGGTTTGTCTTAATTGATCGTGTCTACCTGAAACTCTTCACCTACCTTCCACGTATCGAAAGAGAACAATGAGACGTCATCGGAGAGATTCAAACCCGGAATTGCCACGGGGGTTTGTCTTAATTGATCGTGTCTACCTGAAACTCTTCACCTACCTTCCACGTATCGAAAGAGAACAATGAGACGTCATCAGAGAGATTCCAACACGGAATTACCACGGGGGTTTGTCTTAATTGGTTTTTTGATCGTGTCTACCTGAAACTCTTCACCTACCTTCCACGTATCGAAAGAGAACAATGAGACGTCATCAGAGAGATTCCAACACGGAATTACCACGGGGGTTTGTCTTAATTGGTTTTTTGATCGTGTCTACCTGAAACTCTTCACCTACCTTCCACGTATCGAAAGAGAACAATGAGACGTCGTCGGAGAAGTTGTTGCTGTTATGGTCTCCCTGGCCGTTAAACTTGTGGCTTCCGTAGTCGCAGTCTGTGGCGCTGGCGATACTGAAATAGTGTTGTGTTATCAAACAGGTCTATCATTCACCATTCACACACGTGGAGAATTGGAAAAAATAAAGGATTTTAAAATAGGATTGTGATAGGTGTTACTTTTAATACCATTCACCAGGATATCGATTCATAAAAGCAATGCTTGTCCTTCCAAGGCGCCTGATTTGCATCAGCATGACTACTTTTTCCATATCTTTAAGTGACATGTTAGAAGCTGTAGCCTGAGAAGAAGAATTTTGTTTGTTTGTTGTTTGACACTCAGCAATATTCCAGGTATGTGACGGCGGTCTGTAAATAATCGAGTCTGGACCAGTTAATCCAGTGATTGATATCATGAACATCGATCCACGCAGTTGGGATACGATGACATGCATCAACCATGCCTGACCACCCGATCGCGTTAGTCGCCTCTTACGACCAGCACAGTCGCCCTTTGCGGGAATCATGGGTTGCTGAAGACCTATTGAGACAACGTTTGAGTTGGGTTTTTATTTCGACCTACTTACTTTTTTCAACTCTTTTCGGTACATGTGCTAGCATCTTTAGCAAACTATAAAGGTACTACTGACACATGCACTGATCGCGAAAAAAACTCGCATTGAAAAAACAAAGAAGTTGAGAACCATAAGTCAACTCCCGAGGCAATTAGGGACTTCTATAGTCAGTTAACTACCTTGCCTCGGGAAGATGAAGTCAATTCTGTCTTCATTAATATTTTCATAATTCATCAAGAGGCGGTGGAGACCCGGGTACCACATGGGTAGAATGTGTGAAGCCCATTTCTTGTGTCCCTCGCTGTGATATCGCTGTAATATTGCGTAAAACCATACTCACCCACTAAGAATTCATCACGGTGACATTGCCCACAGGAAACCCTAGTGGTTTTTTGAATGTGTAAAGTGACATCCGGATATGAAATTTCTCGAAGTATACCTTATAACAAGAAGAACAACTTTGCCCACTGTACCAACATGTCTGATACACCTACCTCACCGCACTGGAACCACACAGGAGAAAGCTGTCGTCACAGGTACCGGTTGGACACCGGTTAGGCAGATTCAAACCATCACAGCAGTTGCCGTTCTTGTCTCGTCCACTCGGGTTAAGGAACCTGGTGACCTTGACCGCAATCTTGCCTGTTCCCAGCACAGTATCAATCTATAGCAGTAAAAAATATATGACACAAATAAGCCAGGTTCCTTATAAGGATGAGGGATTTACAAAACCCATATTTTATAAATACTAGCTTTTATTAGGCTTTGTTGCACTATGGGAAGCAATTAGATATACTTCATCGCAGTTGCGAGACGTCGAAAATACTTTGCAAGCATATTGGAGAAGAAAACTGTGCGATGACCCTTCCACTCCGGTTGTTCGTGGGACTGCGGGGTAGCCCAGTGGTTAAAGTGTTCGCTTGTCACATCGAATGTCTTGTTGTGTACCGATGAAGTGACGAGAGGGGTTGTAAAGTGTGAGCATTTATTATTTGTCAGTCGTAATATTTCCCTTCTCCTTTTTACAAAGGTCTAAAATACACAGTCAGTGTATCAATTTCAGCAGGTTACATGAGCATTGGTCGTGATGTATGATGGACTTGTGGTTTTAAACTGCATTGATGGTACGCAAAGGTAAAGCTAGACTAACATTTAGTCTCTGAAATCTTATATTACACAATATCTTTCTTGACTCTAAAAATAAATAAATCCCTATGCTGATTTCAGATGTGGAATAGAGCTAGCTTGAGCCGGCTAGACTTGCTTTAGTATGCATTTCTAGATTATTATTTGTTTTCTTCATAAAATAAATATATTCCACGGTCATGGTGCAGGACTAAGGTAAAGCGTCACTGTATACATGGCTGTCGCAGTTCACATGCTGTTCAGGGGAATCTACTAAGAGCAACAGAGACATGGCAAGTATTTGGAAACATAGTAGGGACCATGTGCACAAATACACCCTATTGAAGAACTGACGGAAAAGGCACACTTCGAAATTCACGTTAGTCTGAACAACTAAATTGTGCTGAGGCCAAGCAAACATTTAATGATAGTAATAGTAATTATGGTAATAGTAGTCCAAATTCCCTTGTACCATTTGTTGGGTAACATTCTGAAACAGTTCTCAGTGCTACAATTTTGTTATTTTTTGTTTGTTGTTTAACGCTGCAAGATAGTTTGTTGCTTGGACCGCCGTTGGACAGGAGTCTGCGAAGGGGGAAGGGGCAAGCGTTGGGCGGATGTTCATGACGATAGTGTAACTGATTTGTTTGTTTGTTTGTTTGTGTGTTGTTAAACGCCGCACTCAGCAATATTCCAGCTGTATGACGGCGGTCTGTAAATAATCTAGTCTGGACCAGACAATCCAGTAATTGACAACATGAGCATCGATCTACGCAATTGGGATACGATCACATGCAACAACCAAGCCAGCGAGCCTGACCACCCGATCCCGTTAGTCGCCTCTAAAGACAAGCATGGGTTGCTGAAGGCCTATTCTAACCCGGAATCTTCACGGGACTCGTTTGTTTTACAAAGTGAACTTAAAAAACTGATAGAAAATGTAAAGATAGTATACAGTTGTGTCTTGTTCAAGTATGACTACGGCAAGAATGACAACTAGTGAAGTGATGTTTAAACAGTCTCCTGGACTAATCTATTGTCTATTTTGTATACATGCCGCCGTCGCATGGCAGGAGAACTGTGCGGCGTCCGGCAACAAACACCTACTTTAGTATGCAAAACTAGGGCGGGTACTACCCGTGGGGCAGGGCATGCTTACCCTTGTCGCGAACACCTGGTGTCATCACTGATTTTCAGTCGTCCATTCATTTCATTTTTACCGCTATTTTACCTTTTTACGCCCAATGGAATCTATTTCGACGGATAATCGAGACTGGTTTTTCTCTAACGTTGACTATTATATATTTGAAGTGAGTGAGTGAGTTGGGTTTAACGCCGCTTTTAACAGTATTCCAGACGTTTACCACTTCGGTGAAACCCACGAGCACGGGTATGGTGCTGACAAACCTAGAAACATAATCAGGGCGAACCGTTATTCGAACCCACAATCATAGGTTTCTGGCGTGCCCAAGGGACGCAACTCTGCACAGCGAATTGCGGCGCCTTAGACGACTGGGCCACCCGTGCCCCCTATAAATTTAAAGAAAAAATGTATTTCTAAAAGTGAAAAGGGGTATCCGCACCATCTGTTCCCACACCTCTGGATCCAGCAGTGAACGGAGCAGGAAGTGACAGCATGGTCATACTGACAGGGTCGTTGTCATATGACTACTACAGATATGTAACCCAGATGCCTTTATATGTATTGAAATATACCATACAATCGGCATAGACAACGTACACAAGCGGGGCGACGTACGTCGCCGGATCCAGTGTATTCTCCAATGCGCGAAACCGGTGTATTTGCATACATGGATGCTGCTTAAGCTACTCTAATAAATCTTGCGCATTGTGGATGAGCTATAGGACACATTTGTTTGTTTTGGTACGGGTATATTTCTGTATATAGAAAGATACCCCGGGTACCTATCTTTTTACCTTATATGAAAACGACCCCTTCAGCGTTAGTCATGGCAAGGCTCCATCTACTCACCATCACAACCACCAGCATCAATCCGAGGAGGCACAGTCTAGCCATGTTGAAGCAAACTGGACTCATGTCACTGACTTGACCACGAGAAACTTCTCCTGCCTGGAAGGTGGTTTCGGCGCTTGAACTGTTTACCGTAAATACCTTATAGAACGTCTGACCCGTGAAGATCCGGTTCACAATAGGTTTTCAGCAACCCATTCTTGTCTCGTAAGAGGCTATCGGGTGGTCAGGATCGCTGGCATGGTTGATGCATGTCATCATATCCCATTTGAGACCCGGCTTTCCTCCTACATTAAGCTGACACACCGCATTATAACTGGGATACTGTTAAAAGCGGCGTTAAACCAAACTCTCTCTCTCTCTCTCTCTCTCTCTCTCTCTCTCTCTCTCTCTCTCTCTCTCTCACACACAAACATTTATGTATCATAGACAGCATCAGTCTTTTAATCGTTACAGAATCATTGCGACGTGTTCACTTCAGTCCAGCTTGTCGCGATGTCACTGATTTCGTATTGGTGTCTATAGTGTTGTGTGTGTTTAATGAATAAATAAGCAATCTATTAAGTTATTATTACTGACGTATTTCTTTATAAGAACTCACCAGTATTTCTTTTGCGAATATGGAGTTTTAAACAAAAAAGCTTTGTGCACGCTCAGCATAAGTCTTCTACGCAGATTTACACAGGATGCACTCCTGTTTTTGCGTGTCGAACTCCATAAACGCAAGCTTATTAAAGTCAGTTTTTTTAAAAAGAAATCCTAGTTTTAACCACTTAAACTACAAAACAGGAACATGTGACTCCTTACTCGTGATTACATTTACCTGATGAAGTACGGTATTGACAAATCGAGTTTCTTCTATCGTGTAGATAAGCCTTTTGAAAGAAAGTTCGGTGAGGAAATCAGTTATCAAGGTTCCATGTTGACTACCATTTGCTGCAGACCGACCAAACCGATTCATTGATATGCTCAACACGTAGTAGTACTGTTTAAATAGTGTCGCCATTCTGTTGGAGCTAAGGAAATATAGAACCAAACATGTCTCCACAGGATATATCGCTTGGGTGATCTCGCTATAATGAAATTGCATCACAATGCTTCGCGGACCATTGCGACGTGGTAACCTCCGCGACATGATTGCATCAATACTCAACGATCAATACTGAATAGTCCGTGTCAATTACTCAAATACCCACTGTTCAATAATCGATGAGAGGAACATACAAGATGCGGGAAATGAAACGTATTTCCTTGAATCGTTAAAGGACAATTTTGAGGTCGCACGCCGATGCACGATAAACACTTGCACAACCAAAGCTTGCCGTAAAAGGCGACTATGCTTGTCGTAAGAGGCAACTAACGGGATCGGGAGGTCAGCCTCGCTGACTTGGTTGATGCATGTCATCGATCCCAATTGCGTGGATGGATGCTCATGATGTCAATCACTGGTTTGTCTGGTCCAGACTCGATTATTTACAGACCGCCGTCATATAGCTGGAATATTGCTGAGTGCGGCGTTAAACAACAAACAAACAAACAAATCAGTTACACATCCGCCCAGCGCGTGCCCCTTCCCCCTTCGCAGACTCCTGCAAAATGGCGATCGAAGCAACATACTATCTTGCAGCGTTAAACAACAAAGAAACAAAACAAACAAACACTTACTGATATTGTTTGTTGTCTTACAAAACCTTTCCAACAATGATAGCGATAGATGAAGCGCTTGTAAAATGTCTCCAATAGACTCAGCTGAACAATCTGGTTCGTCAGAGTAAATGTATATACAGTTACATACTATGTTATTTATAGTAGGTGTATAAAACCTGCTATCTTCCTTTGAATCAAGACGGTTTAAGGTAATGTCAAGAGACGGAGACACACTTCAGTATTGACAATTTGGTTATTGCTCAGATTTGCAAATAATGTTTGTTACCAAACACCCCACCCTGCAATACTCCAGCTGTACGACATGATAGGAACAATTTCAGTAAGTCCCTAAAACCTTTTCCAGCCGCAGAGCATTTTGGTATCTGAGCAGCGATTACATGTAACTGGCTAGGTGGTTTAATCTAATTCAAGATGTGTCTGAAAATAAACCGATGAAAAGAAGGTATACCTTTCTCTTGATTTTATCAAATGTTTCATTTTCAATTGAAAATATCTTAAGTTAGCGATACTATATCCAAAAATGAACTGTACTGGTGCTTAGGCAGCACTCAAAGAATACATTCTACTTTGATTTGAAACTTTTAATAATTAAAAAACAAAATTCGCTTAATACACAACTGCTGATGGTTGGGTATCTCAGAGGTCTATCTTTGAAAATAAATAAATTTGCTTTTTTCCCGGCAGAAATTTACAATACGTGTATTTCAAACATGGAGGGGTCATGTTGCTGCAAATTCATTTCTTACCTCAGTCTTCATTGAACCAATTTAATTTTAAACGATATTACCCAGCCACAGATTACTTTTCACAAAGTGTTGCAGGAATGAGTGATAGTGAAATAGACATAATCAAATTTAACAACAGTTCTTTCAATTTTGCAATCACATAAAGACAATAACTTGGTAAATATACTTTCTTTCTCCCTCGGTTTATATGAATTTTTTAAAATATATATTTTACTTCAACCATGAATGCAAGGAAAATTACTTAATTTACTCTACACGGGGTTTATTGGAAAAGAAACAAGGTCCAAGGTTCGAGATACGCTATGTCTTTTTGTCTCGAATTCGAGATAAGCATGCTAATGTATATGCATTTATAAAGTGAGTTGGTCGGCACGGAGAAAAAGTTCGAGATATCAGTACTTTTAAGATAACGGGGTTCTACTGTTATATGTATTCGACCTGTCCAACGTTTTCGATGCCAATGTAAGATGATTCAAAGTTATGGTATGCATTGGATATGTGTTCAATTATCAACGAAAATTTCTCTGAACGCTGAAAGCATTCTTCCAAAAACACACCACTGGTGTACTTTACACAAACATGAATCGTTACGACATCTGACGTTGAATTCTAGGTTATGTACAGCGAAACGTCAGTATCGTGTAATGTGTGTGGGCGTAGGTTTACACAAGTACCGACTCTGTGTGCACAAGTGCGGGTTCAGTCGCTCATTAAAACACAATGTAAACATCCCCAACCATTTCAATAAACGCGACTGTCCAATCTGTCACACTGTAGTGTAAAACATGTTGCTAGTGAGAGGACAAAACCCGTTGAGACTCCAGGGTGGGGGGCAGTGTCAGGAGCTCTACCGCATAAACCACCACGTGGGGATTACGGGTGGAATGCGTCACCTGTACCCCATGCTTGTAGTAAGAGACGGGTTAGCCTAGTGGTAAAAGCGTTCGATCGTCACGCCGAAGAGCCGTGTTCGATTCTTCACATGGATACAATGTGTGAGCGACTATGATTGTCGTAAGAGGCGACTAACGGGATCGGGTGATCAGGTTCGCTAACTTGGTTGATGCATGTCATAGTATCCCAATTGCGTGGATTGATGTTCATGATATCGATCACTGGATTGTCTGGTCCAGACTCGATTATTTACAAACAGTCGTCATATAGCTGGAATATTGCGTTAAACGGCGTTAAACAACAAACAAACAAACACCCATAAAAACTGTTCAGTTAGGACCGGGCAATGTCAGTGTGTGATTGTTTGTACTCGTTGATCGCCGCTCATGCTATCACCACTAATGTGTCTGTTCCATACTCGAATATTTACAGATGTAACGAAATTTTGGCTACAACGAACCAGTTCGTAATCCATCAAGGTGATAGCATATATTATTGTTCATGTGAATAACGAACATCGTACGTAACCATTGCGAACAGATTCTGTAGATCAATTGTAGTTCGCAATGTTTTATATACAGCTGACTACATATACAACTATATTGTTTCTATTTCTTTAGCAAAAACTAATGCCAATGTTTATTGAAACATGTAAAGTTGTAACATGTAATGTAAAACATTAAGAAATCCGAAATTATTATTTTCCTTTAATCCATTTTAAAAACATTGAACGAGCCCCCAAATAAAGCCAGTCTCTGGTCACGCTCAGTTGCGTTGCGTATCACCCGGGTACTCACGGTGAAAAAAACAATAACAAAGGCAATAACCAGTCCCGGGAATTGCGTTAGATCAGTGCCCCTTTAAAGAAATTTCAACAAAATAATTTTACTATTTAGTTTTGGTAGAGGCCAACAGTCTGCTTTTAAAAATCTGTTCTTGTAATCATTCACAAATATGACCCCTGATAACGGCGACCACCTAGCGGAAGAAGATGTTTACTATTCACATTCCATGACCTCTATACGTTGTTGACCTCTAACTCCTCGATCGCAGCTAATATCCTACCCCCCACCGACAGGCAGCTATCGGTGGCGGTATGCTGTGTGACAGTCGTCACCCGGCGTCTACTGAATGGGTTGTATAAGGCGGACATTTGGCTGCGTACAGTCTGATCTCGGTCTGTTCTGTTCTGAGGACTGTTCTGTTTGCGGACATACAGTTGTAGTGGCTTCTATTGGGATCAATAGAGACGTCAATCAAGTTCAATAAAAGTTCAAACCATATTGAAAAGTTCTTCAGGTTTTCTGATGTTTGTGTGGATTAGGTGTGAAATCATTGCTTAATACAATAATACAATATTATATAATAGTAAAACAATAATATGAGAGATAGAGTAGTTCTTTGAAAACATTTTCCTTGAAGTGTTTTTCCTGGAATCATTAGGAGTAAACACGATTAAATAGTCACATTTGCGTTCTAGATTACCTTCTATTGTAATCCTTATAGATAGTTTCAGTTTCGATGAAATCCCGGGTTCCACTGGTCGGATTTGTGATTGGTCCTTTCGGGTTGCAGGAAGTCAAAGAACCACCATCTGTTCTGGAACCTAGCAGCACAATATCCACCAACGTCGGCGTTGTCTCTGTCGAAGGTGCTGAACCAGACCGTCATGCACTAAACCCGACCATCACCGCTCACCGTCTTCACGGTGTATTTGCTGTTGCTGTTGCTGTTGTCAATGCGGAAGTTGGTGGCGTATTCTAATGTGATGATGAAGTTCTTGTTAAAGGACCAATCTGCAACCTTGTTGGT